AGGGAGGCCCGTGCCCAGCAGTGGGACGTTAAAAAGGGCTGAATACTACTACTACTAATACATGATGCTATTCATAAAACTCCAATTATAATGCATAGGTAAGCAAAATAAATAGGTAGGTAATTTGTAAGAGGTTGAGGTAAAAACTGTTTAGGTAAACACCCAAATATTATTTGTTCAAAATTATCTTTCTTTTAAGCCTTTAAGCTGTCATGGCCATTGCTTTATGATATTACTTTATGATGTAGGTACTATATTTTTCGCTTAATTTTATGAATCCCTAATATTTCGACATTTACAAGCGTATATACCTATAGCCATAATCACAGGTCAGTGTACCCAAAAAAAAATCCAAATATCCCGTTTTACATCAGAAAGACGTCTTACAATTGACTTTGGGATTTAGGAAAATATATGATGTGATTGATTAAAGCTTTATATCCACCCAGATTAGATTAACTAAGGTAACACCGATGTCTTTTACTATTGCTGTGTTCAATCCAAAGTTATCAGCAAATATAAGTACCTATTACGGGAATTTATATTTTCTGCTTATTTCGATATAGGGTTGTGAAATAAAATATTTTAAAATCAATTTTTCGTTTTATTCTTAAAATTAAACGCTGAAATATACATTTTGGTGATGCAAGTTAAAGATGATAATAAGTAACCATTGTTGTTTAAATGTGACAATAAGAAATCATTTTCTAAGAAACGAACTGTTATTTGAACATTTGACTAAGCGGTACGGACGCGTAAGTATAATATTTGTATTTTTTAACTGCATAGTTACTCTAGTGACTAGCATATGTGGTAACAGTCCAAATATAGGTATTGGGGTTTTTCTGTAAGATATTCTCAGTAACAACCCGGAGTTGAAAAGTTAGTCGTGATTCACCTCCGTGCCTCGGACAGCACACAAAATCGGTCCATCGGTCCATCAGTCGTCCTGCGTCTGATCTCTCACCGCGAGTGGCGAATTGTCATCTTATCGGAATATGAGAGTGACAGGACTACATAGGTAGGTGAGATCCGAAATCGAATAGGATGAGGACGCATACTCGTATTTTTGTTGGTACATTCATGTATTTGGTTGGCCCTTTTACATTTTATTAAACTACTAGCGACTCACTCTCGCTTCGCTCGGGTTCGTCCCTAGGTACGTTTTAACGGTTAGTATGAAAAAAATCTTTGAATTTCTCTGCTTTTCTGTACTACAATATGCATGTATTATACATAATATAAACCTTCCTCTTGAAATACTATTTATTGCTGAAAACTAAATTAAAAGCCGTTGAGTTACTGAGTAGTTTAAACGATCTAAGCGAACAGACAGCGGAGCGACTTAATTTTATACTATGTAAAGATAAAATATAATCGTGAGTTAAAGACCCACATTTATTGTTTAAAATTTTATATTATAATTAAATGAATTAAATTAAAATTCTATGGGTGAAATATTAAATATCTCATACGCAGCAACCCTATCGCAATCAGCAATATCGATAAGCCCCGACGCCGATCTACGAAAATTTAATGTTTGAAACGCCTCAAACTTTCTCATTTTCGTTTTTGCTATTGTACCACTTCGACCCTCGGTGAGTCTTTTTGAATTAATTTCCGATTTAGCAGATCGTCATAGTTAAATAATCTGTGTTACTATGGCGTCACTTAAATGGATGTATTTTCTGCTAGAATCAAATACGTACGTACGAACTGGCTAGCTCAGAATAAAAAGTGGGTTTGAACTTTGAAGATATCATTTAAGTCAGGGTAAAATATTTTGCAAGATGTAAATATCGAAAAATAGCGTGCTTTGAATTAAGTGTTATTCTAGTCTGACTGTTTTTGGTGCGAATGTGTGATTGTTAGTGTGTCCTTTGTTAGCGATGGTAGATTAAAGCATGGTCGAGAGAGGAAATATAACATAAGTTATCTATTTATTTCGTCACATTAAATGTTTTCTCAGGGGCGGACTATGAATTTGCGGGGCTCTGGGCGTCTTGAAGGCCTAAACTAGTTGTCATTTTGCCTTTATAAAATCTATACCTAATGTGGTTATGTTATGTGTGTATCATGTATAACGACACGTTGGGCTCAGTTTGTAGTGAGCCTACATACTGTGCCAGCGGTTCCGGGTTCGAGTCCCGCTGGAGACATTCATTTGTGTGCTGAGCACGAATGTCATGAGTATTCATATTTACAATATATATGTATTTAAAATAAATAAAATAAATAAAATCTCCCAACATATTTATATCTATTTATTTAATGTTAGATAGTACAAGACGAAATTAAGATAACGCTATTGTTTGGTTCTTAATTGATCTTAGGATTGTTAAGCCATCCTTTTATGGCTTTATTTTTTATTTTTTTAAATTCACAATATTATTTATTGTTTTCAACAGAGGTTATACCCGTTATACGAGTATCTTAAGGACCCTGTGCTGCAGCCCAAAGCGCTTATATATAGCTCCTGCGTTTCCTTTACGATATTAGTCTAACGGAAAAAGTTGTAATTACTTATTTCGTCGCTTATGGGTTATGTAAAAATACTTATGAACAACGTCATCTAAGTTTAAGGGATACTCTAAGCATGGTTAGGGGGCTGTTAGGGGACAGTTTCTGTTTCACCGACGGTTAGGGGTCACCTAAAAATTAAAAGGCCCCCTAAATTTAGGTGCTCGAAATATGGCCTTAAAGACGATCGTAAAACAAAATTTAATTTAGGGGCTAGTTCAGGGGACTTTTAAGCTAGAGATCCCATACGTAGCTTATGGGTTGTTAGTGAAATCGGGCATTAGATTTTTAAACGAATACTATAAACATAGCACTCGTAACATACCAAGACAATAATGTTTATTACCAATTATTTTTTCTTGAATTTCTTAAAATCAGGCTTACGAATACTTACGGCACTATTCAATAGATATCGAAGAACAATTATTTAGAGAGTATCGTAATTATTATGACGCACTGCATTTAAAAGTTATCTTTCTCGCGGTTTTCATATTTGCCGTAAGTCGTGTAATATTATCGCATATCTAGTGAATGAGAGCGTCGAAAGTGCGGTTATGCCGAGTTTCACCGGTCAATAACCCTCGAGAATGTCCTCCACGAACATCGCGCACAGTTAAACACTACCAGTATACTTAATATGACAACATTCTTCATGGCTTTAGAATTTAGATATTTAAATTTAAAATTTTTACAAAGTCTAGTCTGCTAAAATGTTCTGGTAAATATCCATCTGCTATTTTCTAGGACCTCTTTGTTTTTTTAGTCCAGGTGTTCGGTATCACGGTCCACATCATTAAACCCTGTATTTGAGGTCGCAACAATAACGATTTATGTTCTACAACTTTACAATAATATAGTACAGACATCAGAATAACAAATAGGCAGTAGCCTATCCGGGATATAAAGTATTTTATCCCGGAAAGATGTACGGTTCCCGTGGGATAGATTTGTTTTTGTTTGTCCAGAGGCGAACCCGAGAGAAGCAAGGGTGAGCCGCTAGTACTGTAATAATTATATTCATTTAGATCGTTTTATTTATATATTGTAATGTAAAGTATCATTTTAGATAACTATCTATATTCCGAGCCGATTTTAAATATTCTTTCAATAATAAAAAAATATTCGCTTAACTTGTATTACACAAGTTATATGTAAATATAGTATATTATGTCTCCTCATTCTTTTGTTAAAATTATTTAATTCCTATAATATGGAGTAGCCTACATGCCGCTAGGATACATACTATCTCTAGTTTGAAATTTCATTGCAAACTTCTGTACTTTTGCAAGTAAAGTTAATTAATTAAATAAAAGTTTTTTTTATAAATATCTGACGGCTTTAAATAATATAAATAGCCGACTTTTTATTGCAGTCTATCTACATCTTCTCTGACAGTTACTGCTAGCAGCTTCTAGAAGTTGCATTATATTTATACTAGCATTGCCCGCGGCTCCGCCCGCGTTCAGATGACCAAAAACTAAATTCTTAGGTGTTACATATTAGTATACTCTTACATTGCAGTTTTTGTATTTTTCCTCAGAAATAAGATATTTTCCCGCGGTAAAAAGTATCCTAGGATCGCGCGCTACATCGCCCGGTTTATATAGCTTGAGCAGGCGGTCGAGCGATGCGGGGCAGAGGGGATGGACTCGCCGTAGGCATCTCAATGCTCGCCAAGCATTAAAAATGTTTCGCTACTAATTACTTCTAACAACGATATCTCAAAAACTATTCATCTGATTGATTTAGTGTAAAGAGCAATTTTAATCTGCATTAAATGACTAAGCTAACTAAAATATTCATTTGGATAAGGATTAATACCGAACTAAAGAAAATAACTTTGAAAATAACGTAATGTTTTTAATTAAAAATGTTAACATAAAAGTGGTTATTGTAAGTCAACCGTAAGAGATAGAGATATGCTATCGCGGACTTTTTTGTAGCATTTTTATAGATTTTGAATTCTCTAGTACATTACTTAACTGTATCTTTGCTAGTTTACGCGGCGTTCGCGTGGAAAGTTCCCATTTGGCGAGATTTTTTGCGACCTCTTCAACATTTGTCGCCGATATTTTCAGCTAATTTACATAAAAGCATAATAAATTATATACCTAAACCTTCCTCAAGAATTACTCTTTCTATTGTTGAAAACCGTATAAAAATCCGTTCAGTAGTTTTCGAGTTTATCGCGTACAGACAGACAGGAGGACAGAAAGACGCGGCCGGGGGACTTATTTTTATAATAAGTATAGATTGCTTCGTAATAATATACTTTAAAAAATCCAATTTTTAATATAACTAATCAAATTTAAATATGATTAAGAAAATTTTCTATAATTCCATCTTAAATTTTTCGAAAAAAATTAATTTTTCTTGGTAGTTTTATTTAGGCTGAGGGATTTAATCAATTAGGTATAACTTTATTATTAATAATTCATATTGGCTTTTTTTCTTTACAGATCTCAATAACATAACTCAACATGTCTCTCGACGAGGTGAGTACCTAAGTACATCGGACAGATAAGCGCATTCAAAAAAAAGTACAAACATTACGACTATATAATATACTAGCATTGCCCGTGACTCCGCCCGCGTTCAGATGACAAAAACCAAATTCTTAGGTTTTACATATTAGTATACTCTTATAATGCAGTTTATGTATTTTTTTTTAGAAATTAGATATTTTCCCGCGGTAAAAAGTATCCTATATGTTGACCCGGATAACCAGCTATCACCATACTAAATTTCATAAAAATCCCTCCAGTGCTTTTTCTGTGATGCGGTAACAGACAGACAGACATACAGACAGACAAAAATTCTAAAAACTATAGATTCGGCCTCTGTATCGATAATAATGTTTATTTCAATTAGATTTTCCAAAAAATATTGAATGTACAGATTCGGCTTAGTTACAATTTTATTATATGTATAGATAAGTAGGTATAGATAATGAATGTATACTTATAATTTCATTGTGATTATTATTATACATCTTTTATTTTCATTTATTTTCTTGATCAATTCACAAAGACATAAACATCGACAGACTGAGCGTTTCGCTTCTACGACTTTTGTACTTGACCCTAATGATGATTAGGGGTAATAACATGACTCATGAGTAATAATAATTATTAATTATAATTAGTGATTGACTCATGTGATAATCGAACCTGTTGCATCTGCATCAATAGCAGCATCGTTAGTCAAGCGCCTAAACCTCATAACGGCATTATGTACTTATCTGCTTACAAGTTTACTACTAAAATTATCCCTATTGGCAAACTAATAGTAGTTATGGAGGATGTTTTTCTATAAATATATGCGTATACTATTTACGTATTTAATTTATTTATGGGTTTTTAAGTTAAGTCGTAAGTATGATGAGGAAATTCTGATTCTTATGTAGGTAATCAACAAGTGACTCGTTGTCGTTGGATACAAGGACAATATTGACAATGGCTTCGAGCGTGTAAAGATCTTACTTACATAAATGCCTATTTAACTTTTTGTAATAGATTATTATATTTTATGGAAATTACTTGATATACTACGATATAAAAGGAAGTTAGATATCTACTTTATAATTGACGAACCACCATACAAAGTTTTGCCGCCAAGTCAAATATATTTTTTTAAAATACTATCTTTTCGGATTTTTCGCAGATTTATTTTTATTTTATTTAAAATGACAAATGTTCGTGTAAATCTAAAAAAAATATTCTTTTTTTGTTAAATATTAATTCCTTATACTTACCTACGTTATATGGGAAACTGCTGAAGTCTTTGCAAAATATTGTGCCTTGCGCTCAGTGTCAGTTAGCCACTGTGCAATTACTAAAGTTGCTTCGAAGAGGAAGAATTCTTAGATATACGTGAATATTTGACATTTTAAATAAAACTATCATTTCGGATTTTTTCGCAGAATTATTTAGATTTTTGGTTCTCGACGTTTTGAATGCTTTACAGCAATCATGGTCACAATCATCGAAAAAATCTGAAACAAGACGAATCGAGCGACGTATGAATCATCAAAATCGGTTAAGCCGCTTAGTAATTACGAGGGAACATAGGGTCGGACATACATACATACAAACAGGCCTAACACATAACCCTTCTTTGGGCTTCGCTCCAGTCGGTTAAAAAAGAATCGGTCACAATCTTTGATATACAAAAACCCTTTATCAATGGTCACAATTGACAAAGATATCGAGTCATAGACAAATAATATTTCATCCAAATTGAGCACCTCCTCCTTTTTAGAGTTCCGTACCCGAAGGATAGCAACGGAACCCTATCACTAAGCCTCCCCTGTCCGTCCGTCTGTCTGTCAGGTATCTCATGAATCGTAGTAGGTAGAGACTAGAGAGTTGAAATTTTCACAGTGTGTATTTCTATTGCCGCTATAACAACAAATGATAAAAAACCAAGATGGCGAATTTCAAAAAGGCTGCCAGGCAATTTAAAAATAAAATCGATTATTTTAAGCCTATCAAGATTGATTTCAGTATGTCTGTTTGTCGACCAATTTCTTTTTTTTTCTTTAGCTATCGACGAGCTATAGTATTATCAATGAAATTTGAAAACAGTTACCTTTTTTAATACATAGGTATATTATATACTTAGTATATTTATTTTTCTCAAAAGTGCAATAATGATTATGACCGAATTTCGACCACTGGGCAACACTATTTAAAAAAAATAACTTATTAGTATAATAAATAGATGATAAAATAGGGTAAAAAGAAATATTTGTACACATAAGTACATACATACAGTTTGGAATACATTGGAAAAGTACCTATATAAAAATAAGTATAATTTATACCTTTATATAAACACGGTAATATAATGCATACATGGAATACTGTATGTAATATTACCATGCTATAAAGGCGGTTTAAGTTAATATAACAACGTCATTTACGACTGCAAAATACCTAATTACGAAAATCACCAGCAATCGATCATTTCCCACAAATTGTATGATAAGGTCAGCTTTTATCAGATTATTACGATAGTTAATTTTATTAATATTTGAAATTATTACGCCATTAAATGCTCATATTATTAATTTTATAAAATTATATTAAATCCGAATTTAAACTTGTGATCAAAAGTAAGATGTGGATATAGAGGTACTTAGTAAACATGGGAGAGGCATAAAAATTGAAGATGTTTATATCTAGGGATTTATTGCTTTTGCCTCACACTAAAAGAATAAGATAGCTGATGGACGAAGCGTAGAAAAAAACAACAAGAGTTGCTTCAATAGTCTCTGAGTTAAATGGCTGTGACAGAAGATCAGACGGACATTGCGAAATTATAAAGGTTCCATTTTTGTTGACGCTATAGTCTTTATACGATTTTAGGCAAAGTAAAACTATAAATTTTTGTAATAAAAATCTTTATTTCAAAGATTTACACATCACACGATATGTACCTACTTACTAAACCGTCATTTTTTCTTTATTTACTAAACTAATGCTGCGGAGGAAAATAAGACGAATTGAGCACAATATTAATTCGGTTTTTCCAGAATAAACACACCATTTTACCCTTTGGTATTCCCTGAGTAATGTGATTTAGAAAATACGGACATATGTAAACATAACCTACCTTTAGGCTTCATTGAGTTGGGTAAAAAAGAGCAAACAAACATGAAAATTAGTTTTATTTATCCATAACATCAAGAACACTAAATACAAAACTTCCAATTATTATTTTTAACCTGTCATTTCTAACTTTTAACTAAATTATTAACGGAATATTACATTTGTTTTTGTTATAGCAATTCCAAAAAGTCGCTGAATCCGTCAGGAACTGGAAGACCAAGCCCAGTGACAACGATAACCTCGCGCTCTACTCCCTGTACAAACAGGCCACCATCGGCGATGTTAACATTGGTAGGTAAAATCTATACTAATATTATAAAGAGGTAAAGTTTGTGAGATTGTGAGTTTGTGAGTTTGTGACGTTGTAGGGGGTAATCTCTGGATCTACTGAACCGATTTAGGTAAAATTTGGTAATAAGATAGTTTGAGACCCTGGGAATGACATAGGATACTTTTTATCCTGGAAATCATTCCTAAAGGGGGTGAAAATGGGGATGAAAGTTTTTATTGGGAAGCAAGCTAGGGACGAACCCGAGCGAAGCGAGGGTGAGTCGCTAGTAACTCTATAAAGACAAGTTATTATATTTCATTGTATGCATTAAATATTGTTGTCTGGCTTCACTATTATACTAGTATTGACATTTTGGGCTGTTGAATAACGAGAAGATGGCAACCAAAAAATTATAACACTTATGCCGTAATATATTTTTTTAGCGAATTAAGTAGGTACTTATAGTTACTTAAAATTTAAATATATGTTATATATAATTAGAATATTTTATTTCTGATTATATCAGGATATTTCTAATGGATTGGGCTTTTTGTAGATGGTTAAAGATAATTTTTGGTATATTTCAGCTGAGCCCAGCGGGTTGGTGGCTGGCGCCAAATTCAAGGCGTGGACTGGTCGCAAAGGCATCTCACAAGATGATGCCAAGAAACAGTACATCGAAATGGCTGAAAAACTCCAGTCAAAATACGCTTAAATTATAAATTATTTATTATAAGTTAGTTATATTTATTAAGAATATTTGTTCAAAATTTAAGTTATTTTACATTAGGTATGGAATGATGTCGGCGTTAAAATTTTGTAAGTTTTCATAATAATAGTAATTAAAACAAGAAAATGAATAATTATAACGCTTTAATTTTATTTTTGCCTCATATTGTACCTAAATCTATACATATAACAAAATTGTAACTAGGCCGAATCTGTACATTACATATTTTTTGGAAAATTTTATTGAAATTAACATTATTATCGATACAGAGGCCGAATCTATAGTTGTTAGAATTTTTGCCTATTCTTTTTGTTAAGTGAACCCGAGCGAAGCACGGGCACGATAATATTTATGCATAAAAAAATATAAAAAGAAAGAAAACTTTAATATTAAAACTAATTTTTATTTAATTTTACGAAATTTGCAGAATGTAGGTAACTTTCAATGTGCTTTATGATCGCTTGTAGTGTCTTTATACACATAAAGTAGATAAAAAAGTATATTATGTTGGCGCTCGCGAATGTAATTATTAAGCGTAAAATTATTCATGTGCAAAAAAAGTATTAAAATATTAAATTATGTTACTTGTTATTTTTACTAATCTTAATATATAATGTTATTTTTTGATTTCTTGCGAGAAAAAGTTTTTAAAAAAAGGTGTATGTACGCACACCATAAGTTATACTTCTTGGTTTTTTTAGAGTATGTATTTAAATAAAAGCTTGTTTTTGAAGTTATACTTACTCCCTTAGGCACGTTTGGAAAAAAAATGAGGGTAAAATTTTTACGATGCCCGCGCACAACGACAACCAAAAAGCGATATGATGAACTTAGCTAAAAGTGACATGATGAAGTTAGCTGTATTCCTTTTACAAAGAGAGAGTTGTGACATACAGGATGAAATCTTTAGGTATTTTTGTTCTGTTACATCAAAGAAGTATAACTTTTTACGTGCGTACATAAGTACACACACACGTTTTTTTTATTTATTAATTCTATTTTATTTTATTTTTTTAGTTTTTATTGTATTTGTATTCTTCTTAGCAAACCCTATCATTTGATATCCATATCATGGGGGTGCATAAAAAAAATGTAGTCCGCCATCTTTGAGAGTCCACCGTAAAAGTATCACCATAGTAGTAGTAGTAGTTACAGTGACGTCACTTTTTCTTAGCTCACCAAGTCCATTAAAGTTCAAGATTTGATTACAGGACAGACACCGGGGCAAGTGAGACTAGATAAAGCTCGTAGTAATTTTTATTTTTATAGACATAAAAAATAAAATACGTGTTGTATATATAGAAATACTGGAATAAATATGTTGAAAATAGACATCACATTGTACTAAAGGGAGATTTAACGACTAACTTCACACTAGTCAATAGCAACTAACATCATACTGTAGTCTAAATCTGTCGCATAGTAAAAAAATGACTTTCATTATTTTTTCTATAACGCGCCGAAAGAAGTATGACTTCATTAAAACGATACGTTTCTTCTATACTATAATTACTTGAGAAATAAAAAATAAACAAAAAATAATAATAAGCTGAACCTTATGTAAAAACTAAGTATTTTCAACCGACTTCAAAAAGGAGGAGGTTCTCAATTCGACTGTTTTTTTTTAATGTTAGTTTCTGAGGTAACTAACATTAAAAAAAAAGATTTCAGACAGACAGACAGATTGGTCCCATTTAAATTTCAAAAAAAAAAAACCACCCCTAAGGGTGGAAAAACAACTAATGATGAATTTAACCTACTTCTAATTGTCATATTGACTTGAAACTTTGCAAGTATTTCTATTTCCGTTGATAGTACAGTGGTTCGGTTTTGTTGACCTGATCTAATGGTAAGGCCAAAAGGTGGATAGGTGGAACTCTTCAACGGCTAATAGTAGATACTTTGAGTTTGGGCTTATTTTGTTTGATTTGACAAGCCTATCACGTTAGAATTCTTACTTTGCTACCACTGTCTATACTAAAAAGGGAAAAATAAAAACTTTTTACCAAAAAATAAAAACCGACTTCAAACAAAAGCACTAAAAAGTAAAAAATAACTGATTGGTAGTTTTCATTTACTATGTACGGTGTGCTTTGGCTAAGTAATTAAAGTCTACCTATTAAATACATACCTAATCAAATATTTTCGAAATCGGTGCCAGCCCATACAAAGCAAAGCACACCGACTTCGAAAATATTTGATTAGGTATGTATAGTAAATGAAAACTACCAATCAGTTATTTTTTACTTTTTAGTGCTTTTCATTAGATATATCAAGGAGCGGGTGATACTTGTCAGTACCATATGAATTGGGAAGTGACAACATTCATTTAATTTTATCGATAAAGATTTTCAGAGGAACATCTCAAAGAAAAAAGTTTAAAAACTATTTCTCAAGATCCATTATGAGACAAAAATACATATTTCACAAAATATAGCTGCATCAATTACGTAGAAAGTTGGTACCTAAGTATTCTTTTTTATTTTAAAATATATAATATGTTTATATTTCATTTAAAAACAAAAAAAATAATTACGTTCAAAAACTATTTCTCGTAATATTAATACCGACCATTCAAAATAACAACATCCACTGAACTTCGGTTCAATTTCGACTTTTCTCAGAGCCAGGAAACATACGGACAAAAACGTAACAGGCGTCCGTCAGATAAGACAATCTTTGGTGTTTTTACACCACAACCTGCTTCTGGTAAATTTTAAATATGAGTAGATAAATAAGAAGAGATTGTTAAATTTGATTGTTGTTGAGATTATAACTTTAACAATTAAAAATATTTAACGTTTCTAAATATTTAGTGTGAACCAAAAACGTGATTCTTTTTTTGTAATTTACGAATTGTAATTCAGGTGTTTATTAGAAGAATACTAAGTATGCTTCCTTTTGTCTATTTAATTAGGCAAAGATTTTTAAGATTGTTAAATTAAGAATTAATTTATTTTTTTTTCGCGTACGATTTAATGATTACTCATGTTCCTAGCTAAAATAAATGACCGTGAATATATACTTAAAAGGCTTAATTTTATTTCACTGTTATGATAGACATGCATGAGGCATGAGTAGGTATTTTTTTTTCTAGTGCCAAATATTCGGCATTCAAACAGAATTTCGGCCGTATATTCGTCATTTAGCCAGAAGTTAAACCGAACGTAAAACGATTTTTGGCCCATCCCTAGAAAATAGTATAACTATTAACCGTAGTTGAATAATAAACAGTATAACAAAGTAACTTAGTGTATTTACCAGCTGCAAATGTCCTACGAATGTACAATAGCATGCCAACTTACGTCAAAATAGTCTACTCAGTTTTGAAAAAAATATCTTTATAATATAAAGGACGTATTTAATCTAAATAATCGAGTAACATAATCACTACAGCTATCGTACTACGAAAGTTTGATATATAATATTATTATTAAAACCTGTGCAAATGGTATAAAATATAAAGTAAAGTAGGTAGTTTCTTTTTTGGTACAAAATTATTTTTAACGTACCTACCTTAGTAACCCAGTGGTAACGCGCTTTCTTAAGAAACAAAATGAAGCTAGGTCAAATCCCGGATCACGAAGCTCTGATTTGATTGAATCATTTACAACATGTTTACCATTTGCCTTTCGGTGAAGAAAAACATCGTTTCATTCAAAGCCAACTTTTCATATGATTCATCTTGCCTTTATAATACACGTTTTGGATTTTTTATAACTAAACTACAGCTTCACCTATCATTATAATATTAATACGATGCAATGTGACAAACATACCTAAGTAATATATTACCTACAAAAAAACCCTTTGGCCACCGTAGCCGAAAGTCAAATCGTGATCAGGAAAACATAATTATTTAGTTGATTGAGAAATCATTTGGTATATTCACATCAGGCTTCTTTTGTTTCTTTACTCTTTACATCTATCTAGTAAGGATTTGTACAATTTCAGAGTTCCCAACTTTGAATATTGATGTGTCATCGAGAGTTTAGTGTTTATTCAACAAATTGTGTTTATTACATTATTTCACAGATCATATAATACTATACTAGTACATACATCATTATCAGTACATACATCTTAAAGCAAGTAGGTAGCAAGAATGAAACATGGATGTTTTTTTATCACAAAATTCTATGATCCTTCGTCAACTTCTTCCCACCTTTTTAGTTCGCTTTTTATGTAGCCGGGGTTTTTAATTATTTACTTCGTCGGTTACTAGCCAGCAGAATAATCAAAGCAATTATAATATTTACCTACAGAAAAATACATTTAAAGTTGATTAAGTACGTAGCATTATAGCAAAGTCTAGGTTATAGCTATTATAAATTATTATTATTCTAACGACGAAGTCAAGGTTACGACTTAAGAAACAGGTACGTAAAAAATATATTTTTATTTTCAACCGATTTCTTAAAAAAAAGGAGGTTCTCAATTCGTTCAACCGCGTATATTTATATATATACCTAACATTTATGTGCGTTTATGAACCGATTTTGATGATGCTTTTTTTGTTGGAAAGGAAACCAGAATCTGATGATGGCATCCCTGAGAAATCGAGGGGAACTGGAACTAGAACTGGAATTCGGTTTATATTTTAATTTTTAAAATTTTGTATTTTTGAGATTATATAACCGTCAGAAAAATATTACTTTACAATCTAAATTTTATGGAAATTTAACTGTTATGAGGATTATTAATTAATTTATTAGTGGAGTTAAGAGATTGAAAAAAATATTATTCTGCACTATTTTTCATATTTTGAAACAGTATCAAATCCCTTTAGCTGCACAATTTAACTATTGCTTTAATCAATGTGACATTAATACAGGAATAGTTAATACGCATATTTGTAGTTTCAAAATTCAAACAATTTCAAAGCTGCGACCACGGTCATAGTATGCGCATGAAAGCAATGTCAGTCAGCCAGAACCGATAAGTCTACGTGCGCTTAGACTTTATTTTATTCTACTGAAACGGACTTCTCAACTCCTAAGTATTTTTAGCACCAGGATAATATACCACCGATTTATAAAAGGGGCCCGATATATCTAATTGAGGGGCCCTGGTTGCAGCTCAAAAAGCCTCTAAATAGATCCGCTCCTGTCATACCTATTTATTTTATTAAACACAAAATAAGTTAATAATATTTTAAGCATATTTAAAGTATAGTTTAAGGTCACGTTGAGGATATTTTGAACACATTAATCAAAGGTAAGATTTAACGCAATTTTATGCACAATTATTTTTTTGCCTGTGACGTCAATCTAAAAATCATTTGTCAATTTATGTGACAATTTAGTCTTGCTAATTGCTATTGACATTTAGGTTAGATTTTTTTATATTACTAATATATTAATATTATTCTGTAATATATTAATTATTAATCTCATTGCATGTGATAATACATAAAAGCGTGAAAATTGAACACGTCAGTGTTTGAGTTTTGCGTCAGGGAAGATTGTAGGCGATTCGGTGGGGTCACGACTCAATAGTCATTCTATTCTTTAGTTTCTTACGAGCCTCCGTTAAGTGTGGTTGTTATATTCGTTTTAATTAAGTAAGTAGCAGTTTTTATTCATGTGTTTTTTCAACTTTCATGATGTATTAATTATTACTCCACTTATATAGATATTGCTAAGTACTCCATATTAGAAGTAATGTTTGTCGTATTTTTCATATTTTAACTTTTGTGGTGGTAGTTTGATTGTTATCATTATTGCCGGTCACGTATTTATTTTTGAATAGTCCTGTAATTATAGTGTACATTTTGGTATTTCATTAATTTTAGGTTACTTGCTGATTTACCAGAACCATGTCTCTCCAGGAGGTGAGTGAATTCATTATTTCATATTTTATATTTTATTTAGTCAGTGCACTGATGTAGGTAGTGATAAATTGATAGTGTCAAGTTAAAAGGCAAATTGTGTAATGTTTTATTTATAAATTATTGTTAGTGGTGCATTGACTGATACATGAATATTAAAATAGGTCATGAAAAAGTTGTAGTAAGTATATTTTAAGTTTTGTATTTTTTTTAAATAAATAAATTTAATGACTATTTTTCATGTTCAATCATAATAAAATATAAAGTAAGTTATTCTCAGTAATTCTTTTTATATTGAAAAATATACACACATGCATTTGGAATATTTAATTTATGGCAAAGATTTCGTTAAACATTTTATTAACTTGTGAAATCTTACTAACGAATTACTGTATTTGTGCTGTATTTCAATTTGTAATTTTTATTTTCAGCAATTTGACGAAGCTGCCGCTAAAGTTAAGAATCTTAAGACTAAGCCCAGTGACACTGACCTTCTTGAATTGTATGCCTACTTCAAGCAAGCGACCGTTGGTGATGCAGATCCTGCCAGTAAGTTTCATTACAAATCTAATATATAATAATTATGGAACTTCTCTGACACACTACACAGTATATTAAGTAGAATTATATTTATTTTCGATATCCTTTTGTTATTTCAAATAACATTATTATTTATTTCATTTGTCTTTTATCCTCATATGGACTTATAGATCCTTATTTGCTAGTTAATTTTTTTTTAATATATGACATATTTACCCTTTTTAAAGTCCCACTGTTAGGCATGAAGGGAGGCTTCCCTTCAATAAGAGGGGGATCAGGCCATAGTCCACCATGCTGGCTCAGGTTAGGTTAGTCCAAATCCTTGTGAAGTCTCATGACACAACATGCAGGTTTACTAGTGATGGTTTTCTTCATTGTTGCATACATAAGTGGTAATTATGTAGAAAAATTATGCACAAGTAAAAATATCAGAGGTGTGACATCTGAGATTTGAACCCATTTTACTTGGCTTCCTAAGCAAGATTGTGTGTTACCATTGGGCTACCACTGCCTTAGTAAAAATTATAAATTTATATAATAACAAATATTTTATCCATAGATGTTTAAGGAAAATTTAGCCTAAGAGTACTGTAAAATAAAATTAGCCGTACTTAATTATATTCTTGAGTCATCTCAAGATCAATATTTTTAATAACTTCTAAGTTTTGCTCATACATCAGCCATTATGAGGAAAAAAAACGGAAATATCCTATGTCGTAGTTATATTTAGTTAAAATTAGTTACAGATTAATGGATATTATGTAATGTAAGTAGAGCCTATCATTCTATCCTACCAATATTATAAATGTGAAATTTTGTGAGCATGGGTGGATGTTTGTTATTCCTTTACACCAAAATGTCTGAATGGATCTGGATGAAATTTGGCACAGAGATAGATTATATCTCTGTAAAATCTGGAATAGCACATACTTTTATCCTGGAAAATGTATGGATTCCGTGGAATAGATTTGTTTTTATCTTAATATGGGGTAGTTCTTTTAAAAATGTCATCTTGATTTGGAATTTTCTAAATATCAAATGTTGAAGACAATACAGTAATTTGATACCACTGGCTGATCTAGTAATGGTGCCATGACATAGGTTTTTAATAGTTATTTATAAAAGCTTTCAGCTTTTAAAGTAACTATAAAAGTAGAGTACTTATTATAATATTCTGAGACAAAGATTTATCTAACACTAGCGACTCACCCTCGTTTAGCTCGGGTTTATCCCTAGCTAGCTTCCCAATACAAACTTTCGTCCCCATTTTCACCCCCTTAAGGGATGATTTCCGGGATAAAAAGTATCCTTTGTCCTTCCTAGGGTCTCAAGCCATCTTACCAAATTTCATCTAAATCGGTTCAGTACATCCAGAGATTACCCCCTACAACTTCACAAACCCACAAACTTTACCTCTTTATAATATTAGTATAGATTTGCCTCAGTTTACCTAAAAAATGATTTACCCTCATAAAAAAAAGAATTAATACTTACCTATACATAGATTAAATTATTAATTGAAACATTCTATGTGGACATAATGCAAGTGTCATTTGTGCGTTCTTTACAAATGTAAGTATAAATGCGTTTTTGTCAAACATTTAGAATACCTAGATAGAACAATACCGACTAACAATATTTTAAATGAAACTTCGAAAAATCTTTTCGGATTTTATCGTGGTTTATATACAAATCATTATTATATAAGTACATATATTTTATTGTGTTTTGTGATCAATTATAATTGGTTAGTCTAGTGGATATTTCAGTATAATGGCAGTATTTTATGAGGTTTTTCCATCAATGTCTTTGCACTAGACGTTCATTAGTTGGTGGTTTGATTCCCTGTCTTATAAAGTACGATCGTAAAGTCCGTTTTGCACACAATCTGCCTAGTGTTTGCGCTTATCCTTGTGCATTGTATTATCTTCTGCGTAGTTGGTTAGGTTTATTGAGACTTCCGCTCTGATTGAAATTGGCTTCAGGATATCATGTCAGTGACGACGTAGATGACGAATATTTACTGCGTCGGAAGGCGCGTGCTCAATTTCTGTATCCTTCCTGGGATGCAATTGTACATTATCTAGAGGCAATTTAAATGGATTAAGATTTTTCTCCTTTTTATGTGACATTACAGAAACCTCTATCCGTCAGTAAAGGTCTCATTGAAATCGATTTAGCTATTCCGGCGATTAGTGACAAAGCGTTAAGTTTATGAGCTTATAATATTGCATAAGGAACTTAGAACGGTTTATAGTTGTAGGTATATCATTATTTTTATGGCGTATTTTATAATGTTGTTTATAAAAAAATATATTATATAGTTTTCTTAATAATATTACTTTCAAGAAAAACGTCTTTATGTCTTCTGGCATATTTACGGATTTGTAACTCAAGTACCTACCTGAAAAGACATATTTCTTTTCATTTGCGCATCTTTGCGTCTTTAATAGAGTAGGTACTTAGATGAGTACAATAGCGAGATAGTAGTAATTATATGCATTGTTTTCTACATTTGTTGTATTTTTCAATAATTGTTGGTTTTTACTGTGGTGAGTTTTCAGTTCCCGAGGTTATATTTTGATTTTTCCTTAGTATTAAGGAGCATTTTTAGTAACCTACCTATTTTTAAGTCTACATTATACGTATAATAGGACTATATATGAAATTGCAATTACTTACTATGTATTTGCCATGTAGTTTTTTTTTATTTTCAGATTTAGCATTATGTTATCAACATTTTATGACAAAATAACTTACATAAGCTTAACATGTAGGAGTTTTGTTAAATAAATAAAAAAAAATGTGTGTGTGTACTTATGTACGCACGTAGGAAGTTATACTTCTTTGGCGTAACAGAACAAAAATAGCTAAAGATTTCATCACGTACGTATGTCACAATTCTCTGTTTTTAAAAGGAATGCAGCTAACTTCATTATGTCGCTTTCAGCTAACTTCATCATTTCCCTTTTTGGCTGTCGGCGTGCGCGCGCATCGTAAAAATTTTACTCTCATAATTTTTTGCAAACGTGCCAAAAGAAGTGTAACTTCAAATTTTTTTTGGTAATAAATGCCATCTCTGTAACTACAGTATTTTAGTGTTTTCCACAAACTTTAGGCTTACATATTTTTGTGTCTAAAAACTTTTTTAGTTAGTTGTTAAATAAAAAAATATCAGGCAAAACTAGAACAGTAAGTGTAAAATAATCCGGTATAGTATCTATTTATGATAGTGTATTATCACTGTGATTGACGATTACACAACAACAGATAAAAAATAATTTTTTTGCTTTTCCTGTCGCCTTTTTTAAAGCTAATCCCGGTATCTATGATATGACATTAGTACTTATAAGTACCTACTGCACTATCTAGATTTATTTTTTGATAGATTTTCGATGATAATGTACTAATTAAAAATTTAAAGGCTAAAAAACGTGAGGTAATATCTTACCTATCTCATAAGGCGATATGAAGCAGGATATTGAACGATAATAATTAATGTGTGTATTATATAATCTAACTCTGTATTTGACATTTTTTATGGCGTCATCTATACATATAATAAAATTCTAACTGTTCTGTTCTAACTATTAATATTCATTAACCGACTTCCCAAAGAGGAGGAGGTTCTCAATTCGTCGTTCACCGATTACTCGAAGATGCCTGAACCGATTTGGTTTTTTTTTGTTTCGGAAGGTATATATCCCAGGTGGTCCATTTACATTTTATCGAAATTGGACGAGCGGTTTTTTAAAAAAATCAACAATTTTTTTTTTGTAAATAAATGCTTAATCGAATATGTTATTAAAAAACTTTCTTCTTACTAATTATCTGCTTATTATGTCTCCACTTAAAATGGAAAAATGAAAACTTAAAAAATATAAACCGACTTCCAGGCACTAAAATGTGAAAAATAACTAAACGGAGGTTTTCATTTAGAATAGTTACCTAATCAGATATTTTCGAAGTCGATGCCAGCCAATGCATGATACCTAAAATACATCACAAATTGATGTATAATATTTAACTATAATTAGAGTTCATACCAAATCATATTTACCTATTAGATATTCAATTATTCTTATCTTAAAATATTGTCGGCTGGCACCGACTTCGAAAATATCTGATTAGGTATCTATTCTAAATGAAAACCGTGCTGACAGAGCCGCTGCCGCATCATTATAATTTAAACGAAGTGTATGTGGTTTAAAATAATTTAAATATCATTTAAGATAATTCGCTCATGTATTTTTTTTTATTTTTTGACGAATGAACTAAAACAATTATAATATTGTACAATTAAAAGGAGACTGACAGCCTACAAACAGTAAAATGTATGGGTTTCTGTGTTTCATCTCATCAACTTTCATGCTAATTTTAATGCCGTTGATTTAATACTTTCTTAGATTTAATAATGTCGTTGATTTTTAAGTTTTGTCATTAGTTTCTAATTCAAGTTTTTTTTTTGTAAAAAGATTAGAAATAAAGAAGGTTGCATAATTTGTTGATTAATGGAATTAAACATTTATTTATGCCAACGTGGCCAATAAAAAAAAAAACAAGACTAGGAGGACGCTTTAGTTTTCCCGCGTTTTTTGGTACTATTGATTGTATCGCTATAGTTATTAATTATTATCACGCTACGGTACAATAAGAAAAGCATAAGAAACGTCTAGAAAAGTTATTTTAGTAGTTTTATTAATTTTCTTGTAATTATTGCATTGTTTCGAAACTTTGTAATTATCAAACTGATCTTAGAATGGAGGCCTTTGTCTATCAGTGCTATGTTGAATATTATTAATTACTTTTAACTTTCGCTTTGCTCAGGTTTGTCACTATATTTCTTACTGCTCACAGTAGCCAATGTGTTACTCCAGGCCATAGGTACTAAAAAAGTTCATCCAAATTCATCAAAAACTTTCAGCCGTGAATGGGTAACAAACATACATACATACACAGATACTAGGTAGTTTTCGCATTTATAAAAGAAGTCCGATTACCTATTAAAAATATATTTTAAGTTTCAAAGGCTCTAGAGACGTGATAAGCAGTGCAACGCACGCAACGCACGTTGGGGGGGAGACATCCTTATGACCTGGATCAAGCACATGTAGATTCGGAAGCATCGAATAAGTGGCTTGCATGTGGTTACTTATTCCCTGAAACCGAAGGCTTCATGATAGCAATACAGGATCAAGTCATCAATACAAAAAATTATCGAAAATATATAATTAAAGGCCCTACAATAGCAGATGATAAATGTCGAAAGTGTCACAAACAGCCCGAAACCATTCAGCATATTACAGGAGCATGCCCAACACTCACGCAGACAGATTACACACACAGACATAACCAGATAGTAAATATAATACACCAAAAATTAGCAATCAAACACAAACTCATCCCAGACACACATACACCATATTACAAATACACACCAAAACACGACACGACCGTGCTATTCTGACAGACAAAACCATCCATTACAATAGACCGGATATTACGCTCCAAGATAAAGTAAATAAAATAGTATATATAATAGATATAGCTGTACCTAATACTCACAATTTAATTAAAACAATAACCGAAAAAATAAATAAATACACAGAACTAAAAGAAGAAATAACAAAAATGTGGAAGATGAAAAAAAGTTTTTATAATACCCATAGTACTTTCTACGACCGGAGTAATTCCGAAGCACTTACATCATAGCTTGAAAATTCTAGACATATCACCAAACTCATACATTAATATACAAAAAGCAGCAATTTTAAATACATGTCGAATCGTTCGAAAATTCATGCAGGATGACACTAATGTAGCTTATCCCCAATTACAATGACGGTTACTTGGTCTTGACCCGTAATCGCCATTTATTTACCAGCTTTTAGCTGAGAATCTATACACAAAAAAATAATAATAATAATAATATTTATTGCAAAGGTATACACCCAATTTAGAATATAATAACATATATGTAGTTATACAAGTCAATTTTTATATCACTTATGCATATATATGCAAGTCAATAAAAACATTATAAAAACAAAATTCAGTCAGACTCTTCATTAAATTAAACTAGAATTAAAAACAATATATCGCTGTTGAGTATATAGTAGCTGTTGAGTGTATAACTATATAATAATAAAAAAAATTACTTACTTTTAACGTTTTATTGTATTCCCTTTATGAAAATAAATAAATCGTCTAAAATCGCGTCGAGGAATGAAACATAAAACACTTTCAATAAATTAGTTACCTATTGTTGCAAGACTCAACGGAAAATTATCGATATGAGCATTATGCGCTTTGTGCTGCACTAGAAGTGAGCGCGCGATATCATTCTGTGCTTTTCGCACACGTTTATTATTGGTCACAGGGATCACGGGTTCTGAGATTATGCGTTTTTAGAAAATATTGCGTAATGTCATCGCTTAAAGTTTAATTTTGGTTGCAACAATGCAAAATGCATGTGTGAGCGATATTGTGTATTTATTATTTGTCAATGTGTTGGTAGCTGCAAGCCGGCGACACGCGTCCCAGTACTAAAAGACCGCAATGGCATTTCTATTACCTTATTATTAAGATTTCTGTGGTAAATGCATTTCCCAGCATTAAAAAAGGTTAGTAAGTATATAATCTAATAATATAATAAAATAATTTGAATATATCTGGTAAGTATGTAAATACGTGAAGGTAGGCTATAAAGGCGAGTTTCTTCGAATACTATTCTTTGTAGAGATATTACGAGTATGTAAATAAGTAAGCTAGGCTCCAGAGATTGGGAAGGTTGCAGACGAAAGTATTTAGGGGAGAACGTAGGTAGTAGGTACTCGTAAGCTATGATAATGTAGGTTATTAAGCTTATTGTAACTACGCTTATTGATAACATAGCTAAGGTTTAGAATACCCATGGCTTATTTGATAGGTACCTCCGCCTTAGGTCTGATTTTGGAATAGGCGACTCGCTTAATAGGTACTTGAGTACTACAAAGTCATTAATATTGGCGTAAGCACCAATTAACAAATAATCATTGTAAAGTAATACGGCGTACGCGACAACGTAGTATTAAAATAGTAAATGGTAAATGGATATACCCGACACCTTAATATAAAATTTCATATTAGTAATTACGTATAAGCGACAACTATATCGTAAACTTGTAAATGGTAGTAAGGTATAACCGACAGTTTAATATCAAATAAGATTTAGTAATTGCGTATAAGCGACAACTGTATTTTAAACTTGAAAATGGTAGTAAGGCTTAACCGACGCTTAATGTTTTTGACGAAAAAGGTAAAGAGGCATTAGTTCCAACTTTCAAAACCGGTGCTAATTGTAAAGAGTCTTAAGCGCCCGGAATCTCTATGCCAGTAAGAAGTAAAAATACCTTACCGACTATAAACCAAAATTGATAGCATTTTTACAGGGGTACAAGTGCCTTTAGGGTAAATAAGGCCTAAAACTCGGTCGGTTAGACCAAAATGACACTCCGAAAACGCAGTTTTTTGCTTGGGCATAAGTGACGAAAAAGCCATCGTAGAGACATGGGAGTAAGCGCATTCGAAAAAGCTAAAATTTTTAAGTAGGATGGCATTCATAACTCATTTGCGACCAAAATGTCGCTTATTACCTATTACCTTTTAACCGTCGATATAGACATGATAATGTAATAACATTTTATTTTTGCTTATTTACAGACAAACCAGGCATGTTCGACCTCAAGGGCAAAGCCAAATTCGATTCGTGGAGCTCCAAAAAGAGTATGTCAAAGGAAGATGCACAAAAAGCTTACATCGCGAAAGTTGAAAGCTTGGTCGCGAGTCACGGTCTTCAATAAATTAAGTTATTTTACTAACATAATACTATGATCTATATAAGTGCTAAAATTACAAAGAAGCACTTCTAAAGTGTTGGCAAAGTGTAACTTTGTCGATATTTTCTATCTGATTCAAATATGTCAATATGTAAGTAATGGCGAGTCATAGTATGATGTTAGTTCCTTATATTTATTGTGTTTTGATGAATGTTTTGGAACTATAGCACAAAAATCGACAATCTTCCTTTTTATTTAGCATTTACATAATATATTTACAGATTTCTTTTTTTATATACAGTTATTTACATAAGCGCCCTAGATTGTAAGGTAAAGCTAAAGATTATTTATAATATGGCAGTGTTATAATTTCTTTTTAAAGAAATAGTTTTTGTGTCAATTAGTTTATTAATTTATTGCCTCGGTTTAGGAAGCTGTACATCACTCAACTGTATACAAATCTGTGTTTTCATTGTTGTTATATGGTCACATATTTTGTTATAGTTTTTTAATATTGGCTTGAAATAAATCACCAAATTAACAAGTTTTTTTTATTTTTCTACCTTTTACTACAGAAAGTTCTAAGTGAATTTTCTAGTAAATCGGTCCCATATACAGGTGTCCTGTTTTCAATGGATAACCCTGAATTGGCTTATAGCAGAACTAAGCCGTTCAGAAAAAATACGAAACCAAATATATTGTAAGTAGTACCTAACATATGTTTTTTTTTAAAAAGACTACAAATTTTATCTTATTTTAAATTATTTAACACTACAACCAGAAAATGAATGAATTCCATCGAGGTTTTGTTCCAATAGGTAGTAAACAGAAATAGTAAGACTAGCTATTGCACTTTTTTTTAAAACGACTTGAATTAAGTTTTTAAGTGAAAAATTTGTTGAAATATAATTTTTGACAAAGTTTAAGCACCTTGGGTGTAGAAAAAATGTATGCTGTATGTATAATTTAAAATAAGATAAGAAAATATCTTAAACTACTTACAATATATTTGGTTTTGTATTTTTTCTAAACGGCTAAAAGTTCTGCTATAAGCCACTTCAAGGTTATCAATTGAAAAGGTGTATAATTAGTACCTGGCCGACCGAGCTTCACTCGGAGTTTTTGGCCAAAAGTACAATTTTTTTTTTAAACTAAAAACTTGAATAAATACAAAAACAGCAAAAGTAATAACTTTGTTCCCGACCGGGATTCGAACCCGGACGGACACCTGTGATTGTCAATCTTGCGCCTTGGCCGCTTAACCACAAAGTTTATGGTTATGAGGATCATAGTGATCGCGACATCTGGCGGGAGAAAAAGGTAAAATTCTTCCCCATTATCAAAAAATAAAAAAATAGACCCCTTTTGGGATCTATTTCTTAAATGAAACCGTAGCGTAACCTGAGTAAATATGTAAACAGCATTTATAATGGTATGAGCGGTTGATTGTTGATAGAAATTTCACGTGCCTCACGATTTTATTTTTGAGTCTGATCGATGCCTTAGATTGATGAGGAGAGTGACGTGATGACTGGTATCTAGAACCTAACTGATTATTTTTTAGCTTTCAGTACATTATCTACATCATTATTATCTTTCTTTTCAATAAAACCGTTTAACTTAATAAATTTTTTTACTTAATTTGTTATAGGTAGTTTAATGATCTTATTTTACCGACCAACATCCGTCGTGTATTTTCCATTCTACGTGTGCTTTAATTTACATCGCTGACACCGACTTCGAAAATATCTGATTAGGTATCTATTCTAAATGAAAACCCCCGTTTAGTTATTTTTTTACTTTTTAGTGCCTGGAAGTCTGTTTTTATTTTTCTTTTGAAGTTTTTATTTTTCCATTTTTACACTAAAAAAGACGAAATAAGCAAGTAATTTGTAAGAAGAAAGTTTATTGTTTAAAAATAATTTATTGTGATTTTATAAAATTACTCGACCGATTTCGATAAAATTTAAATGGGACCACTTGGGAAGTATAACACCCTTCGAAACAAAAAAAGAATTTTCCAAATAGGTTCAGGCGTCTTGGAGTAATCGGTTACCAAACATAAAAAAAACATTCCGATGAATTGAGAACCTCCTCCTATATGAAGAAGTCGGTTGAAAATAAAATTTTATAAGTATACTTTTATGTGTTAGATTCCCATACAGTCAATATTGTAAGAATACTGAGAGATTTAAGTCTAGTGTGTCACTATCATACTAAGTTTTCTTTCAACTCGCAAAAGCTTTTTATGTGAAAAAAATAACGTTACAAAGTATTTTATTGAATAGTATATACATATATTATAGAACAAACATGTTTAATTCAAATATCCAATCACGCCACAAGCTATAGCGGGTCCAGAAGTCCCGGTTAAAGCGCTGTCTTCTGTACCAGCTCGTCCATAGTCGTCTTCACTCTTCGTTATGGCGATGGACCGCCCCACAATCGAGCGTGGGCCCGTTAGGGATATCAAATGGTCCACGATTTTAACATTAAGAGTTTCGCCTTCTTCTGCCTTTATATTGCCGAGATCGCCAACATGGCGGACATGATCGCGTGGACCACCGTGACGGCCCTTAATAGTACAAAAAATACATGGTAAGTAGGTACTTTTATGTATTTTTTTTTCATTAATGTAGGTATATTATGTGTAGAATTAATAACTTATTTCGAAAACAAACATTTTTTCATAATAAGATAATGGATTCTTGATGACATTGAGATTTTTTTCAAAAAGTTTACAAGATATTTAGGGTTGTTATAAAACTTTTTTTCGATTCAGTTTGGATTAAGATACAGCTGTAAATTCGTGTGCCATTTAAAAAGGTTTGCTTGAGAAATCTAAGTTTATATGTTTGTACTCACATAATATGCTATGAAATGTGGTCCAATTTCTTTACAGTTATCCTTAATAGCACCTGCCTGGTGTACATGCACTCCATGTAGTCCAGGAGACAATCCTGTTACATTGCCTTCTATCGTTACCGGACCATTTGGCAAGATCTGTGTGAAGACGAGTTCTCCTTCTACTCCTGATTCCTGGTCTTGAAGTAAATAGACGATCGCACGTAGACCAGGTGCGTGCGGCACCTAAAAAGTTTTCATATGTTTATAATACTTTTACATCCAACTAATTCACTTCAGTTTAAAGTTCAATTCACTTTTAACTTCAATTTACGAATGGGTTATCTATAATAACATTTCTGAAAAACTTGTGTTTAAGAAAGGCTTTTGGTACAGTTTGTAATACCTAATTTTTTGTCAGTACGCGTGTCGTTTAGAATTTGATTTGGGCTCAATTTACTTTGCAAGTAATATGTCTTCGTTAAAACGATAGGTAACTTTCGTTTTAATTGGGCCTAGAACGTGAATTTACTTTTGTGTGCTCCGTAATAAAAAAATTAGACGTTGAGGACTAAACAAAACATGCTCGTAGGCAGAGTCGCAAGCATTTATAGTATTCTAATAAACTTCAACATCAAGGCTTGCGTCATTATAATTATTCATATAAAACGATTATAGCAATTTAATTATTCATCTAAGAGTTTAAGTTATATAAAAATAAATATGAAATAAAGTTTATTTTATGGCTGAGATTAATCAGCAAACAATAGGTTTGCGTTACGTGCAATGTTGCTGTGGCATAACATTTTAACTACTAGATTTCAGATAAGGACGGTCTTGTGCATGAGATGACGACGATTACTATTTATTTATGTCAGCGATAACCTGATAGGTGTAAATCATTTCCGTAAGCTTTTTTTTGATATCTTATTAAATTATCAGTTAAATTGTTTTATAAGCAGTAGGTATATGGAAATATGGCCGAAGAAAGGAAAAATGTTCAAGTACATTTAAAGCCACGGTGGGTAGGTATTCTTATTGATGATTATGTAAATGTAAATAAATAGTTATTAGAAAATCCAAATTCTTAAAGACTTCATACAATATCTTAGTGTAGACATCATATTTACAAAATAAAATGATTAGGTAGTAGGTACATTCAGGAAGGGAGGCCCACCCCCAGCAGTGGGACGTTAAATAGGGCTGAATACACATTCGCGCTATCGTCTACTGTGGCCAAACAAAATAACTTATCTTAGAGTGGTAAGATATGGATTAGGTAGCAGACTGTGCAAATACTATGTCATCTCTTTTTTGGGTTGGGCAATGGGGTCTTCTGTTAAGAAATTCTCAGTAACAGATCAGCACGGCCTTGTGCCTGATTTCTTTCTGGTCGCGTTAAATTGTCGTCCCACCGGAGTATGAGAGTGACAGGAATATAACCTACACTTGTGTCTGCGCGAACTTGTGGACTATTATATTTATCTCATGCGCAGTTGGTTAATCTCAGTGAGATTGACCACCGTGGCCGAAATTGGCCAGGAGGATATTATGTCATATCTTGTATTGATCATACAGATGTTAGTTAGCCCCTGTGGTTGAAAATTAAAAGTAAATAAATAATAAATAAATATGTTGGGACGTTAACACACAGCATCATCCAGTTCCTTGGTAAGCTATGAGGCCTGTGTTATTGAGACCAAATAGTTGATACACTACATATATATAACTTAAAATAGAGACATATTATAAATAGAAACACTCATGAGTACAAACATTCACTACAAACAGAGTCAAACGTATCGTCCAAAAAGTGGTTGTATGAGGATCTGAATATGGAGAAAAGTTTGATTTTACTATATTACCTATATCTATTCATCTTGTGACGTACAGACAATAATCTGAAGCTATATACTTTACATTTCCTACCATCATGGCGATCACGATCAACCGTCAATCAGTCCTTGACACGACTTTGTAAGGGAAGAGGTCAATTAGCTGCACGCGACTCAAAGCATTTGTTGGCTATCTTATGTATACACGACGTTTAATAGACAATTTTATTCGGTAATTATAACAGATTTGTTAATCTTTTCCTGTGTTGTAGTTTGAATTAATAATTTTTAACTTTAATGGCAAGATCCTATGAGAAAAAAATGTTTAGGTATACATATAATAAAATTGTAACTAAGCCGAATCTGTACGTTAAATATTTTTTGGAAAATCTTATTGAAATAAACATTATTATCGATACAGAGGCCGAATCTATAGATTTTAGAATTTTTGTCTGTCTGTCTGTTACCGCATCACTGAAAACCACTGGAACGATTTTGATGAAATTTGGTATGGTGATAACTGGTTATCCGGGTATACATATAGGATACTTTTTACAGCGGGAAAATGTCTCATTCCTAAGAAAAAATACAAAAACAGCAATGAAGAGTATACTAATATGTAAAATGTAAGAATTTGGTTTTTGGTCATCTGAACGCAAGCGGAGCCGCGGGCAATGCTAGTTAGTAAACTATAACATTTAATCCGCCGTCTACAACTGAATAATTTTGTACTAATTAACATAAGAACAAAATGTTAATTGTATACTTTATGCATGTATAATAATGCGAGCGCCAAAAAACTTAACGATGCACATTATATAAGTACAAGTAGGTAATCTATTTCTTAACTGTGTTCTAAATAGGAGTTTTTTTGTTCGTCTGTATTTTTTATATATGTTCATTGTTCACCGTTTTCTCGGAAATGGCTTTACTAATTTTGCTATTATAAATTTAAGATAGACTGCGCTGTAAGTATATTGAGGTATTGAGGTAAGTCCCGAGGTGTTCTCATAAAATTTTCCTTGACATGTAATATTTTACGAAAAAAATCTATAGAACCTCCTCCTTTTTGGAAGTCGGTTAAAAATAGTAAAAACTGATTTTAAAGAAAATAAAAGTCTATTTCTAGACACTCAAAAGTAAAAAAAATACTGAATCGGGGGTTTTGATTTACCTACTATTCACCCAATCAGATATTTTCGAATTCTGTGCCAGCCGACAATCGACAATATTTTCTGAAATTTGTAGATACATGAATAATCTTTATAATATATTTCTATTAAGCTAGTCTATATTAATTTCATATTTATTACGAAATTCCTACGAATTATTCCCCGTCTATTATAATAAGCACAATAACAATTTATATAAAAAATATTAATTAATTATCAAAAATGTAATAAGCATTTAAAATCTTACGTATAAAAATAGATCTTGCTGATAAAAAGGCATTTCATTATTTATGTTCATTTAGAAAATTTGCCAGATAAGTTCCTTTAAAGAGTGATTAAATAGTTCACAATAAAGTAGATACGACTACAATTTTGTCTATGACTAGCATTGCCCGTGGCTCCGCCCGCGTTCAGCTGACCAAAAACCAAATTCTTAGGTTTTACATATTAGTATATTCTTACATTGCAGATTTTGTATTTTTTCTCAGAAATGAGACATTTTCCCGCGGTAAAAAGTATCCTATAAGTTGACCCGGATAACCAGCTATCACCATACCAAATTTCATCAAAATCCCTCCAGTGGTTTTTCCGTGATGCGGTAACAGACAGACAGACAGACAGACAAAAAACTAAGGATTCTAAAAACTATAAATGCGGTCTCTGTATCCATAATAATGTTTATTTCAATAAGATTTTCCAAAAAATATTTCATGTACAGATTCGGCTTAGTTACAATTTTATTATATGTATAGACTAGCGACGAAAATATTTGATTAGGTATGTATAGTAAATGAAAACTACCAATCAGTTATTTTTTACTTTTTAGTGCTTTTGTTTGAAGGCGGTTTTTATTTTTTTGTTAAAAAGTTTTTGAACACGTTAAATTCTTACTTTGCTACTACTGTCTACACTAAAAAGGGAAAAATAAAAACTTTTTAACAAAAAAATAAAAACCGACTTTAAACAAAAGCGCTAAAAAGTATAAAATAACTGATTGGTAGTTTTCATTTACTATACATACCTAATCGAATATATTTTCGAAGTCGGTGTGCTTTGGCTAAGTAATTAAAGCCTACCTATTAAATACATACCTAATCAAATATTTTCGAAATCGGTGCCAGCCCATACAAAGCAAAGATCAATGTTCAGAATTCGTTTTGTCATTTAAGTATGATGAAGTGCGCACACAGCACAATGCTTAACTCCAAATACCCTTTATATGTATACTAGCGACTTACAGACACAGAGCGTTCCTACAGTTTAATAAGAAGATCTTTTTAAGAGACATAATTCTGTAATTCATTGTTTTCATAATTTTAGTACTTTACGCGGCGCACGCCAATAAAGCTCCCATTCGGCATGAATTTTCCCGATATTTAACAATCATCATCATATTTCAGCCAATTTACAAAAAATCTTAATGAATTATACTTCTAAACCTTCCTCGTGAACTACTCCATCTATTGGTGAAAACCGTATGAAAATCCGTTCGATAGTTTTTGAGTTTACCGCGTTCAAACAAACAAACGCGATGGGGGACTTTATTTTATAATATGTAGTGATATAGTATACCTTTAAAGTTAAGCAACATGTATAATAATAATGTTATACCATGAATGATATCATACTTCATAGGACCCTGGAATATCGTGATCAAGTGCGATGTCTAATAGGAGTTAATACTCAGTAAAAAAAAAATAAAGGTTCTATACAAAAATTACACGGGCTAGTCACGTTTTGTGATTTAACTTAATATATGTAAGTTTTTTATGTTAAACTAGCATTGTCCGCGGCTCCGCCCGCGTTCAGATGACCAAAAACCAAATTCTTAGGTTTTACATAATATAAGTATACTCTTACATTGCAGTTTTTGTATTTTTTCTCAGAAATGAGATATTTTCTTGCGGTAAAAATATCCTATATGTTGACCCGGATCACCAGCTATCACCATACTAAATTTCATCAAAATCACTCCAGTGGTTTTTCTGTGATGCGGTGACAGACAGACAGATAGACAAAAATTCTAAAAACTATAGATTCGGACTCTATCGATAATAATGTTTATTTCAATAAGATTTTCCAAAAAATATTTAATGTTCAGATTCGGCTTAGTTACAATTTTATTATATGTATAGATTTTACCGATTACATTATTTGCATATGATTTAAAGTAGGAAAAGAATTAAGAATCAATAAGTTATTATCAAGCATTTTTTCTCTACCAAAATTAACGTTTGCCCAATTATATTTTATTCTTCAATTGTATTCATTTACGTTCATCAAAATATCTGTATTGATAATAGACGAAATACATTAACGGTTTAATTGATAGCTTATTGGGTCGCAAAACGCAAAGTCCTAGCTTCGAGTTCTGGGTCGGACCATAGCAGTTATTATGTTTAAAAAAAAAAAAACAGTTGGCGTCTAGAATTAGGAAGTTGGTGATTTCATACTCTTGCGTCTCGAAGATTATGTAACGTTATCGATCTTGTTCCAACAGTTATACATATGTAGATATATGACAAAATTTCTTTGCATTTAGTCCGCCATCCCGCACTTGGCCAGCGTGGTGGACTATAGTCTGATCCCCCTCGCATTGAAGGGAGGTCCACCCCCAGCAGTGGGACGTTAAAAAGGGCTGAATACAGCCTGTGAGGGTGAGGAGATAAAAAGTTAAATTACGTTTGCGCATATTATGTCTCCCGCCACATTGAGAAATTACCGTCGAGACCGAAAGTAGTTCATTAGAATATATTTGAAAAATGGTAAAGTAAAAATATTTTCTTAGATATACGCGAATATTTGGGATTTTTTTCGTGGTTTTATTTTGTTTCATGGTCTGGAAACGTCGGGAACCAAAAATAAAAATAATAATAAATATAAAAAGTAAAATTTATGACATACTAGCGACTATGTTTTAATGTTTTATATAGATTTCTCAGAGATGAGATCCTGAGTAAATAGTATCCTATAGTTGTTCCAGATAACCATCTATTATCATACCAAATTTCATCAAAATCTGTTCAGTCGTTTTCTCGTGATGTGTTTCCAGAGAAACAGACAAAAACTCTGAAAACTATACATTCGCCCTCTGTATCGATAATAATGACTATTTCAATAAGATTTTCTAAAAAAGATTTAATGTACAGATTCAACTCAGTTGGAAACTTATCATATATGTATGTATAGATTTGTATGAAATATTGGCGAGAATATGTCACGGGCTAAAACTGGGACCATAATATTCTATTTATAAACCGGCGCATCAGTGTCAATATGGAATCATGGAAACCAATTTATAGTACATATTAATAATTCATTTATCTATGTTTCTTGTTAAGTATAAAGATAACCAAATAGTGCTTATACTTACAACATCGACATCGACCTGTTTTTCTGCTCGATCCGTTCCTAAGGGATAGGTAGAGCCAAGTTCCTGAAATTTAAGTCATTTTTTAATACTCTAAAGTGTAAAGTATAAAATGGGATACACGTCTGTTTAATGTTTTAAGAAGGGTTTTAAGAAGGGGTTTTAACAAGGAAAGGTGGGCGATAATTTTTTTTCTAAAGTATTGTGCTGGATATGCTCAAAATGGGTCATAATCATTTCCAACATGATTACCAGGTGTCTTACAGTGAAGGAAAACATCGTGAGGAAACCTGCATGTGTGAGAAAACCTAGGAAGTTTTGAAAGACATGTGAAGACCGCCAACCTGCACTTCGCCAGTGTCAAGTGTGTTGAAGTATGGCCTGATCCCCCTTGTATTGAAGGGAGGCCCTGCCCAGTAGAGGGAGGTTAAAAAAAGCTGCATGCATACTGTGCAGGATATGCTCAAAATAATTCATGTACTATGTATTTTACAGTTAAGAAAGGTAAAATATCCAAAATTTTGCGTACTGATCTGATTTGTCTTTACCTATTTATAATAAATAGATGCACATAATACGTTATACTGTACTTTAGACAGAATTGGTTATGTTAGATTAGTTAATTGTTACTATCCGGGGGCGAAGCCAAGAAACGTTCTGGGGACGACCCACCTCGGTGGGTGGTGTGCCATGCGGGTTGTTCCTGGTTCTTCTCTGATAGCAGAGTGAACCGTTGGAGTAACCAATCCAACCATGAGGTTGTTGTGGTCTGCTTCGGCAGAACTGCCGTCGGGGCGTCGTGGTTAAGTGCGTAAGTGATCCTACGACGTCCCATTAGACGGGGTAGGTTCCGTTGGGTTTAAGTGGGTAGTACTGGCTTTGCTGGTGGCATTTACCAACGTAAAAAAGGTTAGTTAATTCTTACTAGTATAAATAGGTAATTGTACGACTTTGTCTTAAATACCTAACTTTTAATTAAAAGTCGATTATATATATATATATATATATATATATATATATATATATATATATATATCTTCTTTATATTATGAGAATGACAGCGCAGTTAAATAAATTAATAAATATGTTGGGACATAAACACACAACACCATCTAGTTTCATGGTAGATAAGCTACGAGGCTTGTGTTACCAGATAGTTTATACACTATACATATTATAAATATAAACACCCATGACTGGAGTACAAAACATTCATGTTTATCACACAAATGAATGCCCACAGCGGGACACGAATCTGCGACCGCTGGTACAGCCAGTAGGTTCACTACAAACTGAACCAAACGTGGCATTCTAATGATAGTTACATTTATCATAGATGTCATCAAGGTCACTATCAAGGTGACTCTAGTGTTGATTCAAGTGCATACAGTTAGGTTATTCTATTTCGCTGCCAGTGAGAAAAATATTAAATTTTAATTTTCTTATAGTAGTTATTGTCTAGCCTCTAGAAGAACCAACTAGCTTGTGTATTTTTATTATTTAATAGTACATGGCCACAAAACATACTACAATGGAAGGATTACCCAATTACATTTTTATCTTACACTATCTGGCTTTTGCCTCTTTTTGTTTTACTTTTTGTTTTGACTTATAAATAAGCTACAAAATACAATATTTTTTTAAATTTGTCTGTTAGGAAAAATTCCAAAAAATCTGCTACGCGTGCGTAAAGCGCGTTAAAAGAAATAAACAATCTCTTCGGCTTTATAATATAGGTCTACATATTGTTAATGTTATAAAAAGCTTTTCAGTTAGGTCAAAGACCCGTCACTAGTTAGAAATGATGAAATAAAAATAAAATGAAAATCAATACTTACAGCTAATGCACTATGTACGTTATTTAAGCACAATGAACTCACAATCAGACAAAAAAGATTCAATTCAATTCTTTTCTTAATGGAACAGATCCATTAACAAGAACTTAGATTTGACATATATTATAATACTTGTAGTGTAGTAGTGGATTCGTCCCTAGCTTTTTCCTCATACAAAGTTTCATCCCCATTTTCACCTTCTTAAAGGATGATTTCCGGGATAAAAAGTATCCTATGTCCTTCCCAGGGTCTTAAAAAATCTTCTAACCAAATTTCATCTAAATTGGGTCAGTCGATCCAGAGATTACCACCTACAACGTCACAAGCTCACAAACCTCTTTATAATATTAGTATAGATGATGTATCTGCATTTGACTGATTATTATCATTTTCCTTCTACTTGGCAACTCTTATTAGGTACTATTTACAGAATAGTCATTTTAATTTTACAACTAATTCATTACATTATGGAGTCCGTTATATAGTATTAGTCATAATTATTTGATAAAGAAATTAAAACTGAAATTATGTTTAGAGATAAAAATACCCTCTATATTTCAACCAAGTTTATACGACAAAAAAAATAAATATAACGGCATTAAATATTTTCGTACAATAAAAAAAATATATATTTTCCTCTATACAATACATATCTCTTTCTCGAATATCCGTCATAATATAAACAAATATTATAATTATTGATATAGAAATGGAGGCTTTCGTCAAAACACATTCTGCTAATCGCACAGTTATGCTTTATAATAATATCATAATAATTTTCTCTAAGTAGTAAGTAACAAACTCTGTAGCTAGCCTCGAATTTTAACAAAAACGTTAAAGTTTAACACTTGAAGCTAAAATAATAGTTTTAATTATTTTTGTGTTCTTAAGAGATTAGAAACGTAATAGGTTCATAAGGTTTAGTAATAAATAAATAAAACAAGTTACTCACATACAAGTAGGGTTCCATGAAAATTTCGTAAATATTGCTTTGATAGTCCTCCACTTCCGGTATAGCTTTAATTATTAAATTCCTTCCATATCCGGGTACTCCTTGAAAACTCTTCCCATTCAGCACTGCTACCAACCATAAGAGTTGACAGAAAAATATATGCAACCTGAGATTCATTTTAAAAAATAAATACGAAGGCTGATTACAGTTGACTTATGTCTTTAAAAAAAAATAAATGACAGCAAATTAGGCGGGCTTTTTGACGGAAGCGTTTCAATAGCGTGTTAACTTTGCAAGAGGTTGTTCATTAATGATTAGGTGTATAGTACAGTGTTCCGTTTTTTCTTGGCGCGCGATGCTTTGGGATGTTCTTCGTGAGTATCCAAGGTCCTGGCTGAGAAGCGTAACGTGTTATTCGTTTAGATACGCCATAGCGAATTTTTGTCTGTTGAGTAAGTATGTGGGTATATTTTATTATATTTTATAACTATAATTGTAAATCTAGACAAAATAATCGTATAGTTAATTGTGCAAATAATTGGGTTCCGTTCGTACAATAAAAGACGAAATCTTTATAAAGTTATTCCTGTCTCTGCTTTTTCTTTTCAATTTAATTATGGTAGAACGTAATACTTTCTTAGATTTACGCGAATGTTTGACATTATTAAATAAAACTATCTTTTCGCATTATTTCGCGGCTTTATTTTGATTTTTGGTTCCCGACGTTTCGAATGCTTTACAGCATCCATGGTCACGGGAGAGACTGAGGTGTTACATGTCTTGAAGGTATAGTTGTTACAGACAGCCTACCCACAATTAACAAAATGAAAATTGCACCAATTACATTACAATATTTTTTAACTTTAAACATTTTTATAATTTTAATTATAATTGAATATGGAAAATTATTTATTTAATTTTTGCTATTATGTTGATAATTATTACAATTTTAAAATATTAATTAGTAATCTATATTTAGTGTTGCCATTATTATATTTATAACCATAAAGAAAAATATAAAATATAGTATAAATAAAATAAATCTAGTATAAATAAAATAAATCTTATTCCATCATGTGCAAAACCACCTAAGTTGTATGGACTTCCGAAAATACACAAGACTAACGCTCCGCTACGTCCAATTGTGAGTCAGATCGACTCACCGACTTGCAAATTGGCTAAACTAGTAGCAAAAGTACTCTCACCACTCAGAGGATTAACAAGAGCGTTCACAAAGGACTCTTACCATTTTGTCAATGAAGTTAAACACCTAAAACTCATGGACAATGAAACAACGGTTAGTTTCGATGTACAGTCTTTATCTACCAGCCTACCAGTGGAAGACTGTATTGAAATAATATCTAGGAAGCTACTAGATCACAACATGTCAATAGAATACATTGAACTTTTAAAACACTGCCTAACATCCGGCTATCTACTGTGGAATGGTGAATTCTATAGGCAAGTGGATGGAGTAGCCATGGTTTCGCCAGTCTCCCCCGTCGTAGCCGACATCTTCATGGAGGACTTCGAGGAGACTGCTCTGAACACATCACCCGTGACCCCTCGTTTCTACAAGTGGTATGTAGATGATACTTTCACAATATTACCATCTGATAAAATAACTGTATTCTTAGAACACATTAATTCTATAAATCCTAAAATACAAGTTACAATGGAATTAGAATCGGACAATACCTTAGCTTTCCTAGATATATTAGTTAAACGTAACCCAGATAACACCTTGAGTCATACTGTGTATAGAAAGAAGACCCATACTGATAGGTACCTGAACGGTGAATCTCACCACCATCCTTCACAGTTAGCTACCGTGGGAAAATCTTTGTTTCAGAGAGCGCGCGGGATCTGTGACGAGCAACACCTGGCCGGAGAACTGCAACATGTCAAGCAAGTTCTGCGTGACAACAAGCTGCAAGTGCCGCGCCTGCGTCACAGTGACCGAGTGAAACCAGCCACAGTCGAGCGCGTCCCTGCAGTCTTGCCATACATGAAAGGAGTCACTGACAAGATTGGCTACATTCTAAAGCGAGCTTCAATTAAAACCTACTTCAAGCCGCCAAAGAAAATTAGTCAGTTCTTACCACCTGTCAAGTGCCACATCCCTCTACAAGATGCAGGAGTTTACAAGCTTGATTGTGATTGTGGGCTCTCTTACATTGGACAAACAAAGCGATCCCATTTGAACCCGGGTCAAAGAACACATAGCTGATGTGAAGCACCGTCGCAATACAACATCTGCTGTCTGCAAACATAGCCAGGACCGCCCAAGCCAATATTCGTTTCGATAGACCTCAAATCCTGGCGAAAGAAAAACGATATCGCCCTAGAATGATTCGAGAAGCCATAGAAATTAAAAAACATCCAAATTTCAATAGGGAAAATGGCTGGGTACTACCATCGTCATGGGATCCTGTTATTAATATAATAAAATCAAATAATAAATATAAACATAACAGACAGGCAGATGTAGTAAGTTCATACTGTGTAAATCAAAATGACAGCTTATCAGATTAATATTTTTCATTTTTCATTTGTAAAAGTATATATTAATAGTGTTGCTTAGTAAGTTGTTTTTAAATAATAGCAAACTAAATTAAAATTATTATCCTTAATTAATTTTAACTTTTTAAATTACACATAGAACAATTATATGGCTTAAATAATTAATACTATATTTTATATTTTTCTTTATGGTTATAAATATAATAATGGCAACACTAAATATAGATTAGTAATTAATTTTTTAAAATTGTAATAATTATAAAAATAATAGCAAAAATTAAATAAATAATTTTCCATATTCAATTATAGACCAGGGTCGATAATTTTTAAAAGCAAAAAAAATAATAATAGTAGGATAAAACCCATTAGAAAAGGAGGGGAATATTATAAAAATGAAAGGAAAAATAATTTACGGGCGATCTGAGGTCGGGAAGGGGATGGGGGTGAGTTTTTAAGGGTAAAAAACGGTTTTTCTCGATTTCCGGCAAAACTAAAAGTCCTATCGAAAAAAGTCAAATGGCAAAGTTGTAGGTAATAAAAAGATCTAAAAATTTTGTATTTACACTTTTTTCACATATAAGAAGAAGAAGAAGATAAGCAAGTGTATGAAATAAAAAAGGTTTTTTTTTGCATTTTCTCAGAAGATTTACTATAGTAACATATATATTTTTTCACCATCGGAAAGTAGAGATTTCAACGAACAGAAAACATATCAACTCAACATTTAGAAAAAAAGAAGTATAACTTCAAAAATCCCTTCAAGGTTTCCATAAAGACAGCCAACACTGAGGTAAATCGATGGAAAAACTAAATTTGCTTATAGTGTATACGCAAATTTAATTTCTTCTTTTGTACAAGTGAGATTAAAAATATAAAAAAAATATGATCTATTGTTTTTGTCTATGAACAAAAACATTATTATTTTAACAAGCTACTGAGTAATTGTATAACTAATTTTATATATTAAGACGTAGCTTAGCATTTTATTCTCATAAGGAACAATGATAAAATAAATGGTTGGTCATTAGTTTTAGCTCCCTTATATAATAATTTTATTTCCGCATTTACAATGTCAAAATTTATAATCGTTTCATTAAGAACTGCTTTCGAAGGTCCTTCTCAGGAATTCACAAAAGCAAAACACTTGTAAAAGTATTCTTGAATAAAGAAGGTGTATTAGGTGCGGATCCAGAGTTAAATTGCGACCAGGCGCGAATCTAGTTTTCTATTTTGTGGTGGGGGTGGGGGGGTTGGGGGAGGGGGTTGTTTGCCAAAAAATCAAGACCTTAAGTTTTATGGCTTTACAACTTTCAGGTATATAAGGAACAAAAAACTTTGAAAAATAGTTTTTTTTTAATTTCTGCATTGTTGTGACATCTTATCGAAAAATATTCTTTATATAAATTTCATCAAAATCTGTCCAGTGGTTTTCTCGTGATGCAGTAAGAGACAGACAGACAGAAAAAATTCAAAAAACTATAGATTCGGACTCTATCGACAATAATGTCTATTTCAATAACATTTTCTAAAAAATGTTTAATGTACAGATCGACTTAGTTACAATTTTATTATATGTATATAGATTTCTGCAAAAACTATTTGATATTCATGAAACTAGGGGAATATAAACTTCGAAATACATATAATAACTATTTTTTTAAAAATTGATATGTTTATCCGTTTATTCCTTCCTTTCTTAAACTTCAAACTTCTCTAAAAAGTATATTTGGCTTTGGGGGGGGGGGGGGGTCATGACCCCCATGACCCCCCTGGACCCGCGACAAAAAAATAAAAATTGTGTTTTACTTATAAGTACTGTATATATAATTTCATAATATACATTTATATAAATAGAATATATATAAATTTACAAAACTTTTTTATGATAGAAAAAAAAGAAAATCCGTTGATAAACAAAGAAGTATTAGGTGCTGAACTGTTTTGTCTTTGCCTATTTATATGTAGATGTGTCAGTAATTAGAAATTATTCAAGAAATTGAGCTTTAGAATGCTTCTATTATATTAGGTAAATATTATTCACCGAATAATTTTAAATCTTCAAAGGTATTGGGATCTTCGATGGATCGACCTCGATGGTGGTTGTTAGTCGAGCCTTTTTTCGGATCCGGATTTAATAATGCAGTGGGAACCCACTCAGAAAACCAAGCAAGACGGGTTCAGAACCCGTGTCTCGCACATCTGATATTCTTATTTATTATACATTTTATTTATACATTTTCAATATATTTAATTATTGCCTTACGGTGAAGAAAAACATCGGGAGAAAATCTGAATGTCTGAGACAACCTATGAAGTTTTCAAAATAGAATTGTGAAATCCGTCAATAGCCAAATTTTACGTATTACGACACGTTTGGCTCAGTTTGTAGTGACTCTACTTACTGTGCCAGCGGTCGCGGGTTCGAGTTCCGCTGGGCATTAATTTGTGTGATAAGCACGAATGTTTGTACTCCAGTCATGGGTTTATATTTATAATATTATCTATGTTTTTAAAGTTATATATGTGTAGTGTATCAACTATCTGGTATCCATGACACATGCCTCCTAGCTTACCATGGAACTAGATGGTGCTGTGTGCTATTGTCCCAACATATTTATTTATTTATTATTAACTTTTAAATCGATATGTAAATTAGAAGTAGGTTAAAATTAGGCAAACATTTGATTACATACCTAATAAGAGGCAAGGTAATAAAATTGTTTTAAAAAACGATTTATTTATTAAACTCTTTTGAAATTCAAAATTCATTTCGATTTAATTTACAAAGTACCTATATTACTTTCTACCTGCGTTTTGTACATATTATTATGAGTGGAACGTATTTTTCAAATCATGCACACTTTAACTGTAGCACTCACTATAACTTAACAAAATGTTAGCCAGGTTCCGAAGTATGTGAAGAGTTTGTACCAGTTGGTACTGGAACTGTGTCGCCTTGCAATTGTGACAGAGCGCATCGAACCGCTGATAGCATTTCTGGTGTCGACTTTCTTCCTCGAGGCGCATGGGGTCTGTGTGGTCGAGCCATACGTTCTGCGGTCGCTGTTGCTTCTGAAAAAAAACTATTTTAAACATAATAATTTCTTTAATTTACTGGAATATTTGGTATACATATAATAAAATTCTAACTGAGTCGACTCTGTACATTAAATATTTTTGGATGCAGAGGTCAAATTTTTGTCTGTAAGTTTTTAGAATTTTTGTCTGTCAATATGTTTGTCTGTGACTGCAACACGAGAAAACCACTAAACAGATTTTGATGATATTTGGTATGATAATAGCTGGTTATCCGGTTCAACATATAGGATACTTTTTTGCGCGGGAAAATATCTCGTCTCTGAGAAATCCATACTAAACGTTAAAACAAGCGGAGCGAAGGTAAGTATAAAGTTTTAAATAGAACTATCTTTTCAGATTTATTATGGTTTATGGTTCCCGACGTTTTAAATGATTTACATTATGATCAACAATATCAACCTATTACAGGTTGATTTTTTATAGATATTTGTATGTATATAATATGTATTTGAAGTTAATAAATAAGCAACTGTTAAGTACTGTAGAGTAGTTAAGATCCAAAAATTTCTCTGCAGAATTGAATAGTGCGTCGTGAGCGTATGTACATATTAAAGTTTATAAGATATATTATTTTATTTTGATAGTTGATAAATCATAATACTAACTATATTTTTTAATGTCAACGTCTAATATTAAGGAAGGCTATAGGCTATAATCATCATGCTACTACCCAAAGGAGCGGAGCGGTAATGTAATATATAGTCTATCTATTCCGTACTAACCCTTTTAAAACATACATATGGACGAACACAAGCGAAGCGATGGTGACCCGCTAGTCTCTATTTAATATATATGTAGGCAAAGACAATAGAGTTCAATATCTGTTTCTCCTCTGTTTGTCAGCCAATTTATTTTGTTTTTGCTTAGAACTTTTGACGAGCTTTAGTATTATCAATAAAAAAAAGTTGGAATCAGTTTTAAGTAGGTAACCTACGAGTAAATTCTATTCATATAATATGTTTTCTTCAAACTATAATGATTAGGTAGGAACGGCAAATACTAATACTAATAAATTATAGAAACACAACATGGTGCAATTAATAGAAATAAAATACATCAAACATACGGTTAACTCTTGGTCTATCCCGGTCTTCATTCTTCTCACAACAGCTGCAAAAGAAACAAGGGATTCCCGGGACTCCACAACACAGGGCTCCCCACAACCACTTATTCAATGTACTACCAGCTCTAGACCAGGATGAGGGTCTGTCCCGATTGTAAACGAAGTCACGGTTCATGCTGTACTTACTACATGTTGGTATGTTTTTATTGTTTTATGAAATCTAGATGTGGTGTATTTGACATCGCAAGTCAAAATGACAGACAGACATTTGATTTGGAGTGATGATATTATAGTTATTTATTGCGTCTGTCAACGCAGCTCTAAGCCATAAAGAGAAAAAAAATAGTTATTTATTACCATTTTTGGTAAAAATGCAATTTTCTTTTCTCAAGCACTGAATAATTGTCTTAGTATATATTTGTTTTTATTAGTATTTGATTATTTTTATTATATTTTAAGATAATATTTAAAAAAAAACAGATGAAAATGAGCTATTCTGATTTGATTCACTAATTATTATTATGGTGGACCTCTTTTATAAAAAAAGTAAAAACATAAAATTTCTCTCATGGCCTTTTAACTTCATTAAAAGTATCTATTAATATTTTGATGATGATCGTCACCGTGTCGGGGGACCGCTAAGTAACCTTGTGTTGAGAAGTTAGTGAGTAGCGATACAACGGTTCTGAGATTCTGAGGGACACAACATCTGTCCCCGACTCTAGCTTGCCTTTATTGGCCGTCCAGAGTTCACTTTAAATGGCGCAAGAGCTTAGTGCTTCAAAGGATGGGAAATGATAAAGAATTAAGAAGAAAACTTTTATGTTATTTATTAGTGATGTTAATATATTGTGTAATTAGAGTTGAATTAATTCAATATTACAATTTTTTTGGCCTATTTTTTAGTAATGTTAATATGCTTTTAAATCTATTAATGTCGATAAAGTGTAAATAAAAGGGGAGTGAGATACTCGATACAGTGAGTTTTGTGTTAAGACTTGAATCGAGATACAAACGACCTATGTGACAGTGGTAGTGGGAAAGGATGTACAAAATGAACTAGAAAGAGTGAATGTACTTTTGCCAATAAACAAACTTAACCTCAATCCGAAATATCTGCAACTCATAAAATATGTGAAAAACATGGTAATTACCCAGTATATCACAAAAAACATTGTCAGTGACCATCAAACCTCAGTCATTTTTAATTGATGTGTTTATTAATGTCTTATTTATTATAAAAGCTGTTTCTTGTGGTAAAAGCCTCTTCCGGATTGCTTAAGCGGACTGTCTCATGTCAGTTTTGTCCTCTGGGTTCGAGCTTCTTCAACAATGTTATCACTTTATCTCTTAGAGGCCTTTTTTAACGTTGGGAAATGCATTTAGGCATGAAGTGTGGGACTCACCGTCAAAGCCAGTACTACCCACTAAAACCCAACGGAACCTCCCCCGTCTTAATGGGGCGTCGCAGGATCGCTTACGCATTCAACCACGACGCCCCGACGGCAGGTCTGTCAAAGCAGACCACAACAACCATGGGGTTGCTCCAGAGTCCAATCTGCAATCAGAGAAGTACCAGGAGCAACCCGCATAGCACACCACCCACCGAGGTGGGCCATCTCCCAGTGCGTTTCTTGGCTTCGCGCCCGGTTGTATTGCCGGGTACTACTGAGTCCCCCACCACGACAAGGTGAACGCACGTTGGGGGATCTCTTAGAGGGCTCTTAAAAATAACAATAAAATATAAAAATGCTCAAAAAAGGCACGGACGTATGTCTGTGGGTGTTAGACTTACTCAAAGAAAAAAAAACCCTCTTTCCTCCTCTTCCGTGACCACCTTTATTAAGACACTTATAAATTTTAAATAAAATTAAATCTTTTCTAAACTTTTATACTTTAGTAGATATACAAGCTCCTTATTAAAGTTTAAGAGCAATATAAAATGTAAAGTTATAATAACAATTTTACACAAGGCGTTCGTTTAAAAACTGGCGTGAAAATAACGTAATATAGTTTTATATTTTTGTGTTATTACACTTTTAAGTATATTTTTATGAGTTACGACTTTTTTTGACTAATTTGTAAACATATGTATGTTTTCAACCCCTTTTTAACGTTTCACTGTTGGACACGTCTCGGTCCTTATCAGGCCATGAAAGTGGGCGGACTTATCATGTTTTACAAAACTTGCTAGGTTCTCTCAAATATGTAGGTTTCAACACGATGCTTTCCTTCATTGTAAGACCGCGGTAATCATGATGAAAATGATTCGCATATGAAAATTTATTTTTCAATACAGTGTATCTACTATTTAAAAAAAATCTTAAGAAAATCATGTAGCGTTATTTTTTACTTTTTATTTTTCATTGTTTTAATTTAAGCAAAGTTTATGTATGCAAGTACCCTAATAAAAGTAAATATTTAACTTTTAAAATGTACGCCTCTTTATAAAATGTGGTGTATGCCTTTAATTTAGAGTAATATACCAAAAAACATATTGTTTAATGTTATTTTAATAATTAAGTTTATGTATGTACTCTAGTTGGTAAGATTTATTCAATAAATAAATTAATTAATACTAGCGGCTCACCTTCGCTTCGCTCAGGTTCGTCCCTAGGTACGTTTTGACGCTTAGTATGGAATAGTTTTTATTATTTTTTTTTGCTTTTTTTTCCTAAATTTTTCCGAGTTATTCTGTTATTCGGGATGAAGAAAAATCCACGAAAACAAAGATCATAAAAATCGGTCTAGCCGTTCTCTAGTTATAAGTGTTGTAACAAACCCGACTTTGTCTCTTATACGTAGATTGGAGGTGCCATGCCCAGGATTTGAACCCGCTTTACTTGGTTTCCCAAGCCAGCGTTAGTACAGGGCTGCCATTAAATTGTACACATATGTAAAAAAGTAAATACCTATAAATTGTTTTGCCATATCCTGTCTTTATACAAAAAATACCTCGATACGTTCCGTTGGCTCATTATTGCGTAGAAAAAGATCTATCAACACAGTATTTATGTACATTTATATCTATTCTTCTATACGTATAGGTAATTAAATTCTGAGACGAATCTGTACATTAAATATTTTTTGGAAAATCTTATTGAAATACTCATTATTGTGAATATAAAGGCCGAATCTACAATTTTTAGAATTTTTGCCTGTATGTCTGTCTGTCTGGGAACTCGTCACGAGTAAACCACTGGACAAATTTTGATGAAATTTGGTAAGATGATAGCTGGTTATCCAGGTCAACATATAGGATACTTTTTACTGCGGGAAAATATCTCATTTCTGAGAAAATTATACTAACCGTCAAAATGTACCTAAAGACAAACCCGAGCGGAGTGGCGGTGAATAGCTAGTTTATCTATAATAATTATTATTAGTCAGAATACTTTACTCTAGAGGTTGTACTATTTTTTAAAGAATAACATAAAAGACATCTATAGTATATATATTTTTTTCTCCAGTTTTAAACGTATAAAAAAGCATACAAGTGGTACTCTCTCGTGCCACTTTCTCGTGCAAATCGTGATCTTGAAGGCTCTTATCGAAGGTTTGCATGTTTTATGTTACTAACTTACTAAGTCAGTACAATACGCGCTCTCGCATTTCGAACTCGCGGTGACAAGTTACTTTGCTTAATTTTTTTAATGATAATTTACAACATCATATTATTATTATTTATTTATTGATTATATTATCTCTTGTTGTTAAGTGATTGTTTATATAAACTTTATTAAGTGTTTGTTTATATAAATTGAAGCTGGAAAGGTAAGTATATTTATTAAAAATATACAACAAATAGCTTGCATGAAGTTAATAACTTAGTAGTGACAAAAAATTTTTGCAATAAAAAATTATAAAGAGTAAGATATCTTTTTAAATTTTACATAGATTAAAAAATTATGTAAACAAATAAATTATATAGAGCTACAAATAAACAGATTATACAATTAAAATATAGTTTAATATGAAATGTTTTACGTCTTTTCTATTTTATTTGTTATCCATGGTTTTTATAAGCAGTAGAGTCAAGGTGAAATGAGGCCACAGAGGATGTATAGTACATAATATTTATTATGTATTAAGTACGTGCCTCATAGGCATCATGTATATGACAATCATAAATAGACCTTAATTACTCTGGTTTCAATTACACTAATTTGACTATTTGTAGCATATTTATGCACGACAATTCGAATTCCAAACACTCTTACAATTCGTTTGTCGGGATATGTGCTACTTGCAGACAGAAATTTCGAAGGTAGGTACGTGAAGCAGTGTTTGGAGCATCTCACAAAAATTTCATTTTATGTTAAGAGCTGGTTAGTTTGAGTCCAATGCAAGCAAAAAATGTATGTTCCATGTGATGGCTTAACCATTAAAGAATGGTTATTAGGTCCTATTTTATTGCTATTTTAGGTACATATAACAAATAAAGGAATTTACATACAACAAATTAAATATAACGCCTGATCCACACGCTTGCCAATTCTCGACAAGCCCTCCTTCACAAGTTCAAGCGTGTGGATCGGGCGGATCGGTGGATCATGCGAGCGCTTGTCACCGATCCGTTCGAGTGTTGGTTTTTGACGCCCAAATCAATGAAGTTTGCGGCAAGCGCTTGGGATCCATTATCTACCTTCAGGTTTGTGCGGTTGTGCCTTGTACGGTTTCTATGAATTTTTATCATCCACCGTTTTCTTTGGCGAATTTTCCGTTTACTTTTATTTTTTCTCTTTTCATTTTGCTTCTTTTTATAATAAAAATATGTTAATGCCGATAAAAACGTTATAATAACTAATCATTATAGCCGACCATAGCTCGACGTCCATCATGCTTGTTTCTTCTAACACAACTAGCGTTTAGCACATGCCACACTCCCAGTGGATATCGCTGTTTGGATCATCTAATTTATCCAAGCGTTTATATAGGTTTGTTGTTTGTGAATGGCAAACGTGAGGATCAGGCATAAGGTGGAGCGAAAACTTTAGTACGCGAACTAATATGGTTCATGTTACGCATTTTTACGCTAAACAAAATTATTAGAAAATCGATCAAAAAAAATTTATTACACGGTTCAGTGCAATTTCGTAAAGTTTACGGCGTGATATTTAATATAAATGATTATAAAATTATTGTAAGTTATAGTACGTTGATACAGTTTTTGAA